GTGTTGTTGGTGTTGGTGTTGGTGTTGTTGGTGTTGGTGGTGGTGGTGGTGTTGGTGTTGGTGTTCCTGTTGTTGTTTAAGAGTTCAGCAGTAGCAGGGTTGTGGGGCTCCAGAGGAGTGTATTGCGACGGCCAGGTGTCAGGGTGCCAGGATAACGCTTCAGGGAGCTCGGTGCGTTGTCGTCGCACTGGGGGGGTTCTTAATCGTTGACCCAGGTTCTTACTACGTATTCTAAGTAGGCGTTATTGGTCAGTCTGTCTCGTGCAGGTTTCCACCCTTGACCCAATGCTTGGAATATACGTTGGGCCACTCTGGCGAACTAGGGTGCGAGTTGAGGATCGGTCATTGTCATTTTATCCGTTGACCACGCATGCCATGGCAACCAGTGACTATTGCAGATCTGAACAAATCTGCGCGGCCGTGTCTGAAACCATGCTTGGACGACTTGGGACTCGTGCGCCGACTCCTTGGGCCAGCCCCAGGGTGGCCGAAGAGACCACCAAAAAGGGCACAACGAAGAACCATTGCGGCCCATTTGGGGGCATGATGGAGGCTTCGACCCCAAATCATTGTTCTGAGGCCCCGGGAATTATGACGCGACTAGCCCCGGAAGAGCTCAGAAGAACCCGTGGGCAGAAGGCGCGTGGGTTGAAACAATCGTCTAACTTTTCTAAACTATTATTGTAACCCAGTGATCTGGACCGTTAAGGGCCTCAGCACAGTTCACAATGTGCCAGAGGCCCAGCCCACCCTTGCCCTCTTGGGACTTTGGTGCGCCGTCTTGAGGCCTGTTGGGGGTCCCCATCTTTCGAAGGCGGATTCGTTAGCGCACGGCGGCCGCATGTGTCGGTCCCACGCTGAGCAACGGGGACAGATGGAGCCCGCTCAGCGGCTCAGCGCCCCCTCGATCAGATGTGGTGGGTCGCCCTGTTCGGGCGGTCCTTCCCCCTCCTTCGCCATGCGTCCCCTTGTCCTGCCCCCTTGGCCCTTCCTCCCCTGTTGCCGGCGGATCCCTGGACCTAGAGCCAACGGTGCAGCGGGCCGCGCGAGGCCAGAGGATTTGTTAAGCGGCACGGTGACGGAGATGTTCGAAACTGTCTTCTGGGAAAAAAAGAGGAAAATAAACATCCTCCCCCGTTGCCTCCCTCCCTCCCTTCGGGGGAGCGTAAGACCCGGGTTTGCCAGGACTCGGGTTCGCCATCGTTTTTTGACGACCGCGCCTCGGATTTTGACGAGGAGGAGTTTCGTGGGATGTCTGCAGCGGGAGGCCTCGTCAACATGCAGGCTCGGCCTCGTCATTTTTATGACGACCTCGTCGGGGATTTCCGAGTCCCCCGTACCCGGGTCTTACGTCTCCCCGGCTGTTGCCTCCCTCCCTCCCTCGTCCCCCCTTGCACCCATGCCTCCCCCCCCCTCTCCTCCCGAGCGGGCTGCTGCAGCACCGCGCGGCTTCTGCGAGGCCGCGCGGCCCTTGCGAGGCCGCGGCCTCGCCCGCTCCGGCTTCGAGGGGCCCCGGCGAGCCTCCCTACCACCCACCAAACTCCTCCTCCTCCTCCTCCTCCTCCTCCTTCTCCTCCTCCTCCTCCTCCTCCTCGAACTCCTCCTCCTCCGGGGTCGGGGGCGGCAAAGACGGGGGTGATGACTAGGGGTGGGTGGGTATCATGGCGGGGGCCATGATATCTCCCCAGATTTCACGGCGCCTCTTCTTGTTTCGTTGCGTCCCTGGCGCCCCCGCTGGGCCGCGCACGTGCCGCCGGCCATGATTTGCGCCCCCCCCTCTTGGACGCCCCCCTCCTGGCCGCTCCCGAGAAACCACCCCAACCCAACCAGAAGGCCTCAATTTGCCCTCCATTTCCAGTGGGGGGGGGAGCGGGGATAATTGAAAAAAACACATGTGGAACCCGTACCCCCCCCCACCCGAAATTCGGGTCTTCGCGCTGGGTTGGTGTGGTCTGGTAGGTAATCATCTCCGTTCCCCTACTGTCCTCTTCCTCCTCACCGCCCCATCTGTTTCCTCCTCCGCGGACCACGAGGCTATCTTTTGATCTAAGGTGGCATCATCAGTAGGATCGATGGGAGCGGCGGCGGACGAAGGTTGCAGGATAAACGTTGGTGCGGCGGACCAGCAACCGAGGAAGCTTAGGGGGAAAAGCGGTGTGGGAAAGACGGATGTTGATTTTGATCCGCGGTCATGGCGTTGCAGACGCCCGTTTGCACCTCACAGTTGTGCTGGATTTGGGCCTGGTGCCGAAGTACCAGATACAGGGTGGCGGCTGCTTTACTCGGCGGCGAGCGAGGGGGGGGAAATGAGAAGGACAAGGCCGTCTCAGAAGGCCTGGAAGTCCCCCGGCCTTCTGAGAAGTTTTCTGAGCCTTCCCCGAAGACCGACAGAAAAAAACTTCTGAGAAGGCGCAAGGGCTTCTGAGAAGTCCCGCCGCCTTCTGAGAAGGCCTTCCCCTTCTCATTCCCCCCCTCGATCGTCGCCGATGCACGGGCCAGAAGCACAGCGTGCAGTATCAGTAGGGAACAGGGGTGGAAGAGGAAACTCCCTAAACCCCCGACGCCCAGAGGGTTGTTGGGATCAGTGGGTCAGGGCTCGCCGTTTGCACTTGCTGGCCCCACCTCGGCCGCCAGCGGCCATACCCAGCATCCGCGCTGGGTTTTCCCATTCGCCACCCTGGGCCGGCCCGCGCGCGGCGCTCTGCTGCCACGCCGCGACATTAGACGTTTCGTGTGTTTGCCCAGCGTTTCTTGCAATGTCATTGTGCTGTGCCCCTTCTCGTGTCGCCTCCTCCCCGCCCTCCGCTTTCCCTTCCCCCTCGCTTGGCGCGTGTGGGACCCCGTGCGCGCGCCGCGGCATGAAGGCACCCCCGCAGCCACGAGTTCTCGTCCAGCTTCGCCTTTCGCCCTGCTCCTTCCCCGCGAGCGGCGTTGCTGTTGTGGACGTCGCGTGCCCTGCGGCCTCGTGTTGTGATGCTCCAACCTACTTTAGCCTTGATCACCAGGAAGAATTTCGAGTGCCAAATAAAGTACCGGAACTCGAGGGTTTTCACGTGTCGGGCCCTGGGAGACACTCGCCCGACACTTTTTCGGCACTGCTTTCGACACGTTTTTTGACACTTTTCCAGGTGCTCGAAGTTATTTCTGGGATGTGGCTTTTAAGTAGGATGGGAACAACATCAGCCTCGTGCCCTTTTTCGGCCGCCTCGCCTCGCTGTGTTTTCCCGGCGGCCCAGTACCTTGTTTCCCTGTTTGGGGCAGCGCGCGGCGTCGAGAGATCCAACGCCATCCATCCGCATCCGCTCTTCTGTTCCACGCAGCGGCGCAGCATGGGTGCAGTGAGTTGCGGTGCTCGAGGTTGGAAGCATCATGTTGGTGGTTCGTGCCGTGTGAGGGTAAACAAATCCTCCCCCTCTTCTCCTCGTCCCCCTCTTCCTCCCTGCTCTTCTCCCCCCCTCTCGTCCTTGCCGTCCCCCTCCCCCTCCTCATCGCCCCCTCTCTTCTGCCCCCTCCCCTCACCCCCTCTGTCCTCCCCCGCCCGCATCCCCGCCCCCTCCCTCGCCCCCTCTCCCTCCTCCCCTGCCCCCCCCCCCTCCGCCCCCTCCCTCGCGCCCCTCCCCTCTGCCCCTGTCTCTGCCTGGGCCAGGCACGCAGCCCAGCCCGTGGCCGCCCGCCGACGGAGGTGCCGCCCTGCCAGGCCCGGCGCCGCGGTGGCTCGGCGGCAGCGCCTGCGCCCTGGCGTTGCGGGGCGTCCCCGCGGCGCTCCGAGGCGGCGGCGCGCGGACGTTTCTGCTCCTCCCTCCTCCCTCCTCCTCCTCCTTCTCCTCCTCCCCTCCTCCTCCTCCTCCTCCTCCTCCCTCCTCCCGCTCTCTTCCTCCTCCTCCTCCTCCTCCCTCCTCCTCCCCCCTTCCTCCTCTTCGTTTTCCTCCTGCCTCCTCCTCTTTCTTCCTCTCCTCCTCCTCCCTCTTCCTCTCGACCTCCTCCTCATCATCCTCCCCCTCCTCCTTCTCTCCTCCTCCTCCTGCCTCCTGCCTCCTCCCTCCTCCCTCCTCCTCTCCTCCTCCTTCCTCCTCCCTCCTCCCTCCTCCCTTCTCCTCCCTCCCCATCTTCTCCTTCTCCTCCTCCCCATCTCTCCTCCCCTCCCCTCTCCTCCTCCTCCTCCTCCTCCTCCTCCTCCTCCTCCTCCTCCTCCTCCTCCTCCTCCTCCTCCTCCCTCCTCCTCCTGTCCAGAGAAAACATGAGACCCACTTTGGATATGGGGGCAGACTTACAGCGTCGCGAAAAAAATCGCGGCCAGAGACGTCGACTCCATCGTCGTGCGTCTTTTTCCAAGCTTGATCGGTCTGCCGATCAGTATAATGGAAGCCTCACAATGGACCCCCGGGAGAAATAAGCAAAACGCCGTAACCATGAAATGTTTGGCGCTCCGCGCGGAGCGCCAAAAGTTTCTATGTTTGGCGTCTTTCTTCTACGACTCGTGCTAAGTCGGGCAAGTCCACTTATATTGACTGTTTGGGAGCTTCTGCCTATTTTTCCACTTTTCCTCCAAAATCCGCCTGCAGCGGGGGAAAGGGAGGTGGAGGAGGAGGAGGAGGAGGAGGAGGAGGAGGAGAGGAGGAGGAGGAGGACGGAGCAGCAGCAAGCAGCAGGAGGAGGGAGGGGGAGGAGGAGGAAGGGGAGGAGAGGAAGGGGAGGCGGAGGAGGAGGAGGAGAGGAGGAGGAGGAGGAGGATGAGGAGGAGGAGGAGAGGAGGAGGGAGGGAGTGAGGAGGGTGAGGGAGGAGGAGGAGGAGGAGCGAGGAGGGAGAGGAGGCCAGAGGAGGAGGAGGAGGAGGATGAGGAGCGAGGAGGAGGAGGAGGAGGAGGAGGAGGAGGAGGAGAGGAGAGGAGGAGGAGGAGGGAGGGGCGGGGAGGGGAGGGGAGAGGAGGAGGAGGAGGAGGGGGAACAGGAGAAGGAGGAGGACGGGAGCAGGAGGAGCGACTCGCAGTTTCCGGCCCATCTCGCAGCCGCGCTTGGGTCGTGGACATGCAGCGGTGGGAGGAACATTGGAGCAAAAAACCCGAGCGAAAGCCAGACCGGGAATCCCGTGTGCAAAAAACCGTATGTGGAAAGGGGGCCGAATGTCTTCCTGACGTCATCGGGGGCGAGAGGAGAGTACAGGCGGCCCGGATTTGTAGGTCAACCCTGCCAGATCAAGGGTACCCTCGTGTCCTGTGTCTCGCGGCCCGTGCCTCCTGTATTCCTGTGGCAACGTGGCGCCCGGAAGGGTCTTGTGTCCTCTCGCGTGTCCTCGCCAATCAAGTTCGACTGTAGTATTCAGATTGTGTACTTGTGAAGGAGTAGGTGGGAACCCTTTTCGTTGGGGATGGGGCTCCGCGTTCCTTCAGTGTTTCACGGCTTGCCTCGGGAGTTCCTTATGTCTTCGATGGGAAATCGAAGTTTAATTTATGGAAAAAAGGGGCCTCGTTCCTTATTTAGGGTTCCTTAGGTCAACGGCCCGACTGGTAGTATTATGTCGGGCGTGTCCCCCTACAGGGGGATTTTCGACGACAAATAAAAATGACCCAGGGACGTACCCAACTCTTTGGCAACAGGTGGCATTATCAACTGGCGCTTTCAAAATAGCTAAACATCCGCTGGACGTCCAAGAGGCCCACGAAAGCGACGACCATTGCATTCTTGGCAATCGCCGCGCTTGAGGGTCAAGCGGTGTACTTCGCTCAACGAAGAATCAGCGCCCCGCGCTCTCGAGGGACAGCGCTGCGCACTGCGCTACAGGACGGCGCCGCGCGACCGATCAGCGAACAGCGCTTTGCGCTCGATCCTGGTGTCCACATACTGCCTGCACCAGGGCCGCGCCTTCTTTACCCCCTTCCGCGCTTTCCCATGCCACAGAGAAAAAGCGCCGCGCGTTCGGGCCACAATGACAGCGCCGCGCGCTTCGAGAAGGGGCCTCGTGGGCAGTCATCGGGCCCTCTGGGAAGCCTCTTGGGCCGTCTTGGGACAGTATCGGGTGCCTCTTGAGCCGTCCTGTGGCTCCGGAAAGCCGAAAAGACGAGAAGGCCAAAATCCTTCAAAAACCATTGTAAAATTCTTGGTGTTGGCCTCTCGGGGCCCTCCCATGAAGCCTTTTGGAGGCCTCTTGGAGCGTCTTGGAAGCCTCTTGGGCCGTCTGCGGCCCACCTTGAACGTCCTGGAGCGATCGTTCGGCGTCTCAGGAGCCCACGAAAGTGCCGACAGTTGCACAGTTGGCAGCTCCACCCGCAGGGAGCCGCGGGGTCCCGACGCGATCCGCGTATAACCCCATTCCGCTGGGCCTCGCAGGAGCCCACGAAAGTGCCGACACTTGCGCAGTTGGCAGCTCCCCCCGCAGGGAGCCGCGAGGTCCCGACGCGATCCGCGTGTAACCCCACTCCGCGGGTTTCCAGGAGCCCACGAAAGTGCCGACAGTTGCGCAGTTGGCAGCTCACCCCGCAGGGAGCCGCGAGGTCCCGACGCGATCCGCGTGTAACCCCACTCCGCTGGGCCTCCCAGGAGCCCACGAAAGTGCAGACAGTTGCGCAAGTTGGCAGCTCCCCCCGCAGGGAGCCGCGAGGTCTTGACGCGATCTGCGTGTCCCCCCACTCCGCTGGGCCTCCCAGGACCACGAAAGTGCCGACAGTTGCGCAAGTTGGCAGCTCCCCCCGCAGGGAGCCGCGAGGTCCCGACGCGATCCGCGTGTCACCCCGACTCCGCTGAGCCTCCCAGGAGCACACGAAAGTGCCGACAGTTGCGCAGTTGGCAGTTCCCCCCGCAGGGAGCCGCGAGGTCTCGGCGCGATCCGCGTGTCACCCCCACTCCGCTGGGACTCCCAGTAGCCAACGGAAGTGCCGACACTTGCGCAGTTGGCAGCTCCCCCCGCAGGGAGCCGCGAGGTCTCGGCGCGATCCGCGTGTCCCCCCCGCTCCGCTGGGCCTCCCAGGAGCCCACGAAAGTGCCGACAGTTGCGCAGTTGGCAGCTCCCCCCCGCAGAGGGAGCCCGCGAGGTCCCGACGCGATCCGCGTGTCACCCCCGCTCCGCTGGGCCTCCCAGGAGCTTACGAAAGTGTCGATAGTTGCGCAGTTGGCAGCTCCCCCCGCAGGGAGCCGCGAGGTCTCGGCGCGATCCGCGCGTCATCCCCACTCCGCTGGGCCTCCGAGGAGCCCGCGAAAGTGCCGACAGTTGCGCAAGATCGCAGCCCCCCCCGCAGGGGGCCGCGAGGTCTCGGCGCGATCCGCGTGTTACCTCCGCCCCGCCGGGCCTCCCAGGAGCCCGCGAAAGTGCAGACATTTGCGCGAGATCGCAGCTCCCCCCGCAGGGGGCCGCGAGGTCCCGACGCGATCCGCGTGTCACCCCCACTCCGCTGGGCCTCCCAGGAGCCCACGAAAGTGCCGACAGTTGCGCAGGATCGCAGCTCCCCCCGCAGGGAGCCGCGAGGTCCCGGCGCGATCTGCGCGTGTCCCCCCACTCCGCTGGGCTCC